GAGCCTCCACTTTTTGACTCAAAGTGTCCAGCACCTCATAAATTCGCTTGTGACAGGTCAGAGGACCTGGACTGTGTTTCCTCCAACCTTATCACCAGGACTGGGGGCAGCTGGTCCCATTTTAACCCTGTCGGTGCCAAATTGCTCCTCCAACCCAACAGCTTCCTCCTGCCTCCAATTGTTCTTCTCACCAAAACAGAGAACAACATGCTAACTATCATTTCCAAGGCCGTGTGCTTGGTGTTAGGCGACACACTTTATAGACACACTTTATTCTACACACAAATTGTTTCTGTCTTGATGAACTACTTTTTAGGGGAGGAAAGGGAAACTCAGAGAGACCAAGTGACTTGCCTAAGACCACACAGCAGGTCAGCTGTCAACTTGGGTGCAGTTCTTGCCTCTCCTAGGCACTCTCAAGGCACAGTCCATCGGAAGAGTGAGAGCCTTGGAGGGCCAGAAGAACTCACCCTTGACACTGTCTTGCTGCATAATCTACCTGTGTGGCTTTTTTTTAAACTAGGGATTGAACTTAGGGGCACTTAACCACTGAGCCACATCCCCAGCCCTATTTTGTACTTTATTTAGAGACAGGGTCTCACTAAGTTGCTTAGTGCCTTGCAGTTGCATAGGCTGGCTTTGAACTTGCAATCCTCCTGCCTCAGCCTCCCGAGCCACTGGGACTACAGGTGTGCACCACCACACCCAGCTCTTGTGTAGCTTGATCCAAAAGAAAAGGAGAGTGTCTCTTCCAGTTCTCCCAATGCAATGAGGGACACTGGAGAATGTCGGGGAGAGGGAAACACAGGGTGTGTGTGACACGGCCCCAGCTGGCCATCCTTCCTGTGGGGCACCACACACACTGGAGGACAACAGGGGTCATTCGATTCCAGCTGTTCCATTTCACAGATGGAGCCACAGAGGCTTCAGGCTTGGGGGTGCCTCCGTCAGGCCAGAGCTGGGGTGGGCATCACGGTGGCCCAGTGTGCTGACTACAATGGTTTGCAAAGCCACATGGTCTGCCATCTCTGACCCCAGTCTCCTTCCCACCTCATACTTCTCCCCTTTCACCTCAAAGAGCCCCCCTCCTTGCAGTATTTCAGGCCTCTCACCTTGGGGCTTCTACAGAATGGTGGCCTAAGTCCCTTCCCCACTTCCCAGGACTCACTCAGGCCCAGTCCTCTAATGCCTCTCCTTCCCTGGTTCTCAGGCCAGGCCTGGTACCTCCTCCGGGCTTCCCCCATGCCTTCTGACAGTTCTGGTCACACCAGCTGGGGAACTATGGTGGCATCTGTCCCTCCCTCTACACTCTTCCCAGACAGAGACGAGGTCCCCCCCGCCCAGCCCCAAGTCATTTCTGATCCAGGGGGCAGCATCCACAGGAGCCAGGTCCAAGAGGGACAATGAGTCACGCAGAGACCAGGGCTGCTCCAAGCCACACAGCTCTGCAGGATGAAGCCCTCTCCCCTTCTCCCAGTTCTCCTCCTGACCCCAGGCCTACAGCTCCAGCTACCCGGCCTCCTCTTATTCCCCAGACCCCTGTTACGTGTGCACAGGGGTTTTCTGTTCTCTCATCCTGGGAAACCCTTCTTCAGGTGCCCCCAAGGCTTGTTCTGGGTCAGTGCTACTTCTTCAGAGACACCTCCTCTCATGGCGCCAGGAAAAACAGCACACAGTTTCCCTTAACACCTTCTCTCGCTTTAGTCTCTGCTGTACCGAGTGCTGCTGGCCTGCTCATGTGGGGGAGGGGCTTGTGGGTGGTTTCCTCGAGACAGGAACCTTCTGTTTGATCCCTGTGTGCCTGGTCCATGAGAAATTAATATCCGTGTACTGAATAAAAGAATGGATGAATGGATGAATGAGAACACACTCATCCCTGATTTATTAGGGGACGTCAGGATCCGTTTCCCTTTCAGTTCAATGGCACAGATGGGATTTTGTGACACCTCTTCCAGTCTTTCCAAAATCTGATTTCTAGGGTTCTAAGGCCTGGGGTCCAAGCCCCTCCCGTCTGATGCGCAGAGGCGCTGGGATTCTCTGGAGCTACGGTGGGCTATTTGGATTTTTCAGCTGCCCTCCGGGAGGAGACCCAGCACATCAACACTGAGGAGAGGGAAAGCTGACTCAGTCTCCTCCCTGCCTCACCCTTCTCCCTTTTCACCCCAAATATTCCCCGATGACAGTCCCCAGGGAGGACACTGGGGCTTGTGATGTGGATGGCATGCCCAGGAAGTGGGCATCTTAGGGATGTCAGTTAAGGAAACACTAGGCACTGACAGCAGAGGAGGACAAGCACTCGCAGCTTGGCACGTGTTCCTGATAAGTCAGGCTTCTGTGGGATAACTGGGACTCGGGTTCCCTCCAGCTTGTGCTCCACCCTCTTCAGTACAGGAGCCCCACCTCATCCACAGTGCCACTTTCCACAGTTTCAGTTAACTGCAGTTGACAGCAGTTTGAAAATATTAAATGGAAAATTCCAGCAACAAACAATAGGTTTTAGACTGTGCACTGTTCTGAGCAGTGTGATGACATCTCACACAGCCTGTTCCATCCAGCCCTGGATGCACACCACCCTTTGTCCAGCATGTCCACTCTGTATATTCTACCAGCCCGTTAATCACATAACGTTAATCACTAGGTTATCAGACTATTATCAACTATTATCATCTCTCAGTGCTTATGTTCAGTATAACCCTTATTGTTCTTAGTAAATGGCTTCAAAGTGCAAGTGAAGTGATGTTGCCAAAAGAGAACCTGTAAAGTACTTCCTTTAAAAAGAAAAGGTGGAAGTACGGTGAGAAATTTTCAGAGAGATCATATTCACATAACTTTTATTATAGTATGTTGTTATAATCATTCTATTTTTTTTACTAGATATTGTTAATCTCCTACTGTGCCTAACTTATAAATTCAACTTTACCATGGGTGTGTATATATAGGAAAAAACATTATAAAAAGAGTTTAGCACATCTGCAGATTTTCTATGTGGTTTAAAGCTCATTGAGAAGGGGTAGGGCTTGTGGAAGGGAATAGAGCTGGTCTACCCACATCCTATTGGCCAGAACTCAGTCACATGACCACGTGAACCCGCAAGGGCAGCTGGGAAATGTAGTCTAGATGTGTGCTGGACTCTACCCCAGAGGAAAAGCAAATGAGTCTGGTGAACATCTGGCTCATTGGTCACATTGGGCCCTCATTTCTTGTCCTAGTGATAACAGTTTCTCCTGCCTGTGTCTTCTGTGGCCCCCACAAGTTCTTTTCGCTAAGCAGCCTGAAGACCTGGATCTTCCACCTGGTGAAGACCAAGCTCTTCCCCAGAACCACTGAGGGTCCTGCCAAGGTGACCTACTGTTCATATTTTCCAGGGAAGAGTGGTTTCCTGGGATGCAGCGTTCTCTGACGTAGAGTTTGTTGTAAGCACCACCAGGTCAAGATGCCTAACTCCACCACCACCACGAGACTCCGGCACACAGCTCGTTTATGGTTCTGCTCTCTCTCCTCTTCAGCCCTAACTCCCTAGCAACCACTCATCTGTTCTCCATCTCTATAATTATGTTGTACACAAGTTTTTGTTTTATAATGGAATCATGCAGTTTGTATCCTTTTGAGATTGGCTTTCTTAACTCAGCATAATTTCCTTGAGAGCCATTCCATTTTTTGCATGTATTTGTAGTTAGCTGCTTTTTTGTGCTGAGTCATCTTCCAAGGTATGGAGACATTATATCTGTGTAGCCATTCCTCCAGTGAAGGGCGCTGGGTAATTTCCAACATTTGGCTATTAACATAAAGTGGACTTGTGCTTACTTCAGCTACATTTACTAAAAAAAAAAAAAAAAAAAAAAAAAAAAGAATAAACTACCTTAAATACCTGTGTATAAATTTCTGTATGTTCTCTTCGGTGAAGTGTGTATACATATTTTTTGCACATTTTAAGATTTTTTTATTGATTTAAAAAAATAAATGACAGCAGAATGCATTACAGTTCTCATTACATATATACAGCACGATTTTTCATATTTCTGGTTGTATATAAAGTATTTTGACACCAATTTGTGTCTAAGAATTTCTTTTGGTGTTTTTTTAATAGAAAAAGTAGATTTATTTGTTATGTTATTATGAAGACAAAACAATTAT